ACATGTCATGTGGGAGCACGTAAAGTGCGAGGCATGTCGTGGTAATGAAGGTCACTCTTCTTATTTTATATTCACCTAACATCACCATTAATAATTATTATTTTTATAATTATAAACATTAACAACATTTATACTTTCGCATAAAAGAAGGTAAAACAAAAAAAATGATGTGCGCGCATGTGGAGAGTTTAATGAAATTTACCCAAACCCAAGAAAGCTCTCTTACAGTTTTTCCTTCATATTATAGGGAAAGAGGGGGGGGGGGGATTAATAAAAAAAAAAAAAGGATTTAATTGCTCCAGATACAAACAAAGAAACAAACAAACAGTTGGAGTACACAGAAAATGAAAAATATGTCTCCCACTGCATGCAATTCTTGAGTCTAATCGTTTCTATTCGCCTTATTTATTTTAAAGAATTCCAGTTATGTTTTCAAAATGATTCAAAGAAAAAAAAAAGAAAAAAAAATCTTAGCCTTACTTTTACCGTCAACAGAACAGAAAAACATATAAAACCGTGTATTTATCCTATATGAATCCGAACCCCTTGGTGTAAAAAAAAATAAATCTCTGATATTTCCAAAACAGTTAATACATATATATATATATATATATTAAAACACCCCAGGAACTGAAGAAATAGAAGTGTTAAGAAGACCAATAAAACCCGCCTACAAGTAGCAGCGTAGAGGGTAGGGTTGGGTTATGTGGTCCTTCTAGAAAACCCACGTTTGACAAGCTATTAGGAATAAAATAAACAAATTTTCGAAAACTTTAATACACCAGTACACGATTTACTACCTAATAACGTAAGACTCGATCATTCTTTTCGCAAGGTGAGAAAAATAAAAATAAAAAAACGTTTTTTTTATTAATGTAGTCGTTCCCTTATTATTGCTGTTACACCTTTGTGTTTCCGTTTTCAGATTTTGTTTGCGGATTGCCTTGACCCATCACACACATACATACATACATACATACGACACACAGATAGAGAAATACAGAGAACAATGCAAAAGTATCTTCAACTTCTCTCTCTTCTTCCTCTTTCTTTTTTCTTTCTCTTTCGCCTTTTTCCCTTTTCCATTCCATTCTATTCCCCCTTTCGCCTCCAGTGGAGAAAGAGCATTGGAATGCGTGTAGAGCTCGCGGTAGGGATGAAACGCAGAGCCCAAAAATAAAATAATAACACACAGGTGCATCCACAGAGAAGGAGAAAGAGAAGAAGAGAAGAAAAATGGAAACAAGGAAGCGACTATGTCTCTCTGCTGTTGTTATTGATAATGTTTTTTTTTAATTAGACTCTTTTTATTTCTTTTCTCTCTTTGGCTTATTTTTTAACCACACCGTAGATGGTAGAGGTGGTACCAAAGCAGATGACCACCACCCCAGCGAAAAGAAGGGCGTAGGTGGAGAGATACATCAAAATGCCTACGGACTTGATGTTGAAATCCCCAGCGTACATGTAGAAGAGGGCGGGGAAGACAAAGCCGATGAAAGAACCACTGAAGGAGCCGAGAAGTCCAAAGACAACATTCACGTCGGGAATAAATAAACCGGCAACAAGGGCAACACAGCAGCAAACGGTACAGAGAAGGGCATTCTTCCACCACGCCACCGTATCCAAAGACCATCCAAGAAGATGATGGAGAGAATCACGACAGGGAAGAATATGCAGGGAAAAGGCCACACAAAGTTTAATAATAACACCAACGTAGGCAATAGCCATTGCGACATCATGTAAAGGACGATACATCTTAAGAACAGAAGATCCGACTTCTGGGCCAAACTCCGCGTAACCAAAGAATCCAGTAAGCCAGTAAAAGACGGTTAACAGTAACATACTGGCGGCTGTTTGATAAGTCATTTGACTCACACTCTGCACTGGACGCATCTCATTCCATACTTCAAACATATTACTCTGGCACATATACGCAAACATAAACATACCAAGTCCTCGAATAGCTTCGTTTCCTGATTGGAATAATGCAAGATCATCCCTCAAACCATCCTTCATACCGAATTTAGCAGCATGCACAATGACGCATATCACAAAATATACAATAAATACTACTGCAAAAAGTGAAACATGACGCAATGAGTTGATCCGCTTCGGAAGAGAAAGTGGCAACATAAACAGGAAGAAGGTAATAGTTGTGAGAACTTGAATAAAACTACGTGAAGCCCAATATCCAGTTACGTTGTCATCCGTAAGAAACGCGTAAAACAGATCACTTATAGAGATAACGTAGGCAATACAAGCTCCAAAGCACTTGACAAACATAATAACAGCGGTAAAGATATCACCACCACGTCCAAATAAATGGCGCGCCATTGCTTCATAACTGCGAATTCCCGTCTTTTTTGCAGCACGTGCGAGAATGTCCATTGAGAATACCGTGAGCAAGTAAATGACAATAAGGTATATGGTTCCCATAACGATACCGGAGGCGTGAAAGGCGGATGGGAGTCCGAGGATACCCGCACCGAGACTTCCACCGGCGAGATTAAATACACCCGAGACAAATCCGCCGTCTGGGACGATTTGGTGACCGAGTCTCTTCAGCCAATTATCGTTTTTCACCTCTTTTGGATCGCTGTCAATACTCACCTCAGAGGAAGCTCCCGCAAGAACATTCTTCACTGGCTCTGGCCTGATCTCCTGAGAGTCGTGTGGAGAGGACATTTCTTATGCAAAAGTAAGTGTGAAATACCTTGTTTTGTGTTTTTTTGTATTTGATGATTTCTAATTTAATTTGTTTGTCTCTCGCTTGGGGTTTTGTTTTCTCCTTATTGTAATTGTGTTTATTATTTCCCTCGTAATACGGACGTCGGTTACAGCACCTTCTTTTCGTGGAGCGACAACAACAAAAAAAGAAGAGAGAAAAGCAAAATAGAGCAAAAGGGGATCGAAAACAGATGTCAACGACATGTCATGTGGGAGCACGTAAAGTGCGAGGCATGTCGTGGTAATGAAGGTCACTCTTCTTATTTTCAATTCCCCTTACCATCACCATTAATAATAATAATAATAATAATAATAATAATAATAATAATAACAATAATAACAATTAATTAAATTAGACAGAAATGTAGAATGGAACAAAGAAGAAAAAAAGAGTAAAGGAACGGATACGCAGAAAAATTAAATCCATAAAAAGGTTTTGGTTTCCCGTATTTAAGGGCCTCTTAGCAGTAACGACATTTTCATCTAATCCAATTTAAAGGTTATAGCATGAAAAACAGCAAACGTCTTCCTCTGATAACGCCTCTGTGTTCACAACAACTACACAAGCCGTACAAGCCTTCTTACCACAGGAAAGACACAAAACACCACAATTATTACACACCACACATTGGCAAACTGAACATGTATCCTCCGTTTTGATGGCGCAAAGTACACATTTCGGAAAATCTTTTATCATTAGTTGTGCCCCTTTAAGGGCTGAAGTAATTGCATGGCCTATCGACATGACATCATCTACTTCATATAAATTAAAAGGACCATAACATCTTTGCGGTAGTGGGAGTCCACAGAGGTACAGAAATACAGTACGTTCCTTTGTATTCACCTTTAAAAAGGGTATCATATCTTCTTGATTATCTTTCTTCTCATCCACCACTACTTCAATTCGTACACGTAACATCATTAATTCCTGCTCCAACTGAAAAACATTTCGTGCCAACTGCTCTAAAATAAAACATGAGCATCGAAAAGGGCCATGCAGAGAGCATGGTTGCCATGGTCTTCGTTTAATTAAACTATCACATGGGGTTTCACCTTCTGAAAGAGCAAGAAGATATCTGTCATCTTTCATTCCAATCACATGTGGTAAAAAGAAGAAGGCAATACCGGGAAAAACATCCCCGTCTACCACATCCGCCGTTAATGGTCTATACAGAGGCACTAGAGCACACCAACTTCCAGAGCACAAATACGCGGCATATTGACCTCGATTTTCCTTTTCCTCTTCCTCTATGGGTCGTTTCCTTTTCATCTTTTATCATTTAAAAAATTTTAAGAAATTAAGAAAGGAAAAAAAAAAAAGAAACCACTGTATATATGTATATATATATATATATATATATATATATATATATATATATATATATATATATATATATATATATATATATATATATATATACATATGATGGAATAAAAAAATTAAAATAATAGAAAAAGTATTCACATAAAGTAAAACATCTAAAAGTGTATAATTAAAGAAGAGGAATAAATATAATTTATCTCCTTCTCTATGTGTTATAGGAAACTACGGCGTTGCTCACAGCTGAGCGAAGACCCAATTTAAAAGCAACTCACGATCTTCAACACCGGCATTTCGGTAAATCCTAACCAATTGAACCAAACGCGTCAAATTATGTATTGTGAGAAGTGTCACACTATTCATTTCCTGAACAGTGAGAAGATGATGAATGTACGCCCGCGTATGTCGTGAACATGTGTAGCAATTACAATCTAACGACAGGGGTTGAATATCCACTGCGAAAGTATAATCATTTAAATCGATTTGTGATTCATATCGAGGAGGTATTTTTCCCGAAACGGGAGTTAAATCAAAAACCAAAGCTATTCCCTTCTCTGCCAATATCCACGGTAACGCAGACTCAATAAATGATACACCTGTCTTTAAACACATAAGAATAGCAGAAACTGATATGGCCGTGCTCATTACTACTTTTCCAGTACCAATTTGACTTAAATAGGAATAGTATTGTTGTAAGGTTTCATTTTGACAAAGTTCCTCTGTAAAAACGTACTTAGTATTATTATCCGAAACACATAACGGTTTCATTAATTTACAATCGATCTGATTTTGAATAGAATCAGCATAAGATGACCAACGAATAGAACGTCCTTCTGCTGTTCGCCTTCGTTTTGTTTGTGATTCATACAATGACACTGCATCATAAAGAGGAATAGCTATAGAAGGCTGAATAGACAAAACCACTTCTTTCCATTTTTCATTACTAAAAGAGATTCGACCTTTTTCATGATTTCCGCACAAAGTGGTCTCTGTAGCTGGAGCACTGGCATGCATCCCTACATGTGGGCTTCGAACCGTTAAAATAGTTGTAAACTCACCGAGGCCGCAAAACTCTGCAAATCCCTTCTGAGATTTTTTACAAATATTTACATATTCGTAAGCATCAAAGATAGAGAGACTTATCACCCGTTCTTCTTTGGTTAGAATATCTCGTACTTGATCAGGTGTAAGGCATGGAACCCCACCACGTCTGCACGGCACCACGAAGAGAGGATAACTTTCCATCATGGTTATCACTATATCTCAGCAAAATTCTCCACAGAGAGAAAACACAAGCGAAAAAAAAAAAAGAAAAACTAACATGTACAAAAAAAAAAAAAAAAAAAAAAAAAAAAAAAAAAAGAGAGAGAGAGAGAGAGAAGGTAAAATACACCCAAAGGAGAAAAGACATTACAAATAAAACAAAAAGATGAACATTGTATAGATTTTGTGTATGCAGAGAGGCCTGTTTAAAGAAATGAAAAAAAGATGACACAGTACAGAAAAATAAAATAAAAAAATAATAATAATCGTAAACAATATATATATATATATATATATGGTATTTGCTCGATAAAAAAAAAAATTCATCATACATAATTAATTTATTTGGTTGTCAATATTAATAAAATAAAACAAAAAAAAAAATAACACTAAAGAGGAAAGGTGAATAAAATAACCCACGATAAAGAAAAATAATAATAGAACTAATATCTAAAAACACTATCCCAATCAAAAGTTTTTTTGTTCTTTTTTACTTCGGATTCATCTATTATCCATGAAGGTTCAGTACCGGTTCGAATCCCACGCTCAGTCATTGCAGTTTGTGTAAATTGGGAAGGAGACTGTAATAATGGTGAAATAGACTTCAACGACGCTTCAACTGTTCGATAAGGAGCACTAAATTGATTATTATTATTACTATTAATAGTATTAATAGTATTATTATTATTATTAATATCAACATCCACAAGATTCTTAAAACCAGGGTTTGACATTACAGAAGGCCTTAAATCATGTTCTGTAGAAGGAGAAACAATTCCCTGTTCCATACATTCCTGTTCTCGTAGCCATTTCTTCCGAACTTGATTAAACATATATTCCTCTGTATAATCTTTAGAGAACGTATTTTTAGTTGTAGACCTTATACCTTCTTTTTCATCTGGTTTTTCCTCATACTGACGTGCACGTGAAAGTGCATACTCTACTAATGAATCTCTCATACGTGCATCCGATGCGGCACTTCTCTCGGCTAAATTTTCGACCTCTAATTGTTTTGGTTGAAAAGATTCCACATGTCTGGTATGCAACTGATGTACACGTTGTCGTCCTTTAGATTTTTTCTTCTTTATATCTTTAGCGAGAGCTTGACAACGTGCCATCCATTCAATACGTTCATCATTTTCTTCCACTTCAATATGTAAACGAAATTTATCTTCTTTACGTATTAATTCACGAATTAAAATACGTCTCTTTTGTAATGCTTTTTCATTTAATCGCTGTTCATCTTGTTGTTTCTTTCGTTTAAGGTGATCTACAGTATTCAACCATTCTATCCAAGATTTTTCATCCAAGACGCGTTCATGATCGATACTTCTCATTATGACCCGTTCTTGTTCACATGCGCGTTCACGTTCGTATTCCACGGCGGCCCGTCGCTCTTCTAAAAGAACTCGATATAATTTAATTCTCACCAGTTCACCCCTTACATGACGTTGAATACAAATAGCTGCTTTATTACGAAGTTCTTCTAATCGTCTTGCTTCCTCTATACGTCGTCGTTCTTCTTCTTCTCTTTTTCTACGTTTCTCTTCCTCTTTACGAATACGTTCTTTTCTCTCAACCTCAATTGCCATTTGAACACTTCGCTTTTCATTTTCTAATTGCATAAGTGAGCCCCATAGTTGTTCTTCTTCACTTTTACAAGAGTCTCGGAACTGTTTCTCTTTTTCCCATACTTCTTTCAACGCCCTTTCTAATTTCTTTCGAAGATGCTCAGCTTTGTGAAGTAAAAGGTGAGCTAAGAAAAGTTTATGTCGTGCCAAGTATCCACGAGAAATTCGTTGTAAAAGCATTGAAGTTTGTAATAAATGTTGATTTCGTAGTTTTTCAAGTATGTTATGCGCTTCTGATTTAAGGAATACTTTGGTAGAACCTAATTGAACCTGAGCAGGTATTTCTAATTGAGCTCGTTTAATGATATCTTCTACAAGTTCCTTCTCATTTCCTTCTTGTAAAGAACTACATAATCGATATCGATGACAAAAGATATTTCGTGGAAGACGTACGGGATAACCAGCTTTTCGTATTTTTATAGTACCAAGAACTCCACTAGATTCTAATTGATTCATAGTTTCTCTACCATGAAACATTCTTGGTTTTTTTAAAGGATGAGGTTTAATACAACGAATCCAATGAGGATTTGTACTACCAATAAGATCCATAAGTGATGATAATTGATTACGAAAAAATCCACTAACCGTAAATTCTTTTCCTCCTTTTTTCTTTTCAGATAATGGAATAGGTGCAGGAAGGCAATGCGCAATTACATTATCATGACTTCCCCGTACGATAGTTTTAATAGAATCCTTTAAAGTATCTCTATTTTTCTCAATCCATCCCATTACATTATAAGTAACATCTGCAGCATAATGTCGAACACAAAATGTATCTCGAGATACAGGATCCTTTTTAAAAAATGGATTCTTTTCATGTTTATCCACTACCTTTGTTAAGAAACCAAGATCTGTTCCTCCTCCAAGCCAACAACATTCATCCAGAAGAGGTAAAATACCTCCTTGTGCAGTAAGCATGTTTAAACATTCTGTATTATCTGGAAATTTAATATCAGTAACATCAATACCTTCTTTTTTGCATTCTTCTAGATCACGTTTAAAAATGTTTAAGTTATAATGATACTGAAGGCGTTCATTGGTTAAGTTAATACATAACTGTTCAAATGAATTTACTTTAAAATCTTCAAACCCAAATATGTCTAAAAGGCCAATCCAATTTCCATCACTTTCAACATCACATAAATTATTACACCTATCGATAAGCCATGAAAAAATACCCTGATACAAATGTTTACACATAGCATCACGAATATCAATAGCAGAAACTACATCATTTCTCTTTAAAGCAAATTGATTATTAGGAAGAGCTCTAGTACTTGTTAATAATTCATGAATTAATGCTTCTTCATCTATTTCAAGCAATCGAACCGCTTTTTTAACATAATTCATAGTTTTAGGATCAATAGAACAACCTTCTTCTTCTGGAAGGAATCTAACATTTAGTAGTGTCATCACAGCTGCAGTAACACGCCAGACAGATGTAATCTCTTTATGAGTCATTCCTACTTTTTCCATAGAATGACAAACATCATTAAAATCACTTTCTGAATTATACTCACTATTATTCATTGTACCTCCAGAAGAAAGTGATATATATTGAGCTTCACTTTCAAGATTAAGAGTTCGTGTCATAGACCCTTTTGATCGAACCAAAAGATAAAAAGAATGATATAAACGTTCCCCTTTTGCGGCAGAGACGACACGACTTTTTTCTAAAAGGTAATTAGTAGTTTCAGCACCAACCACAAGATGTTTAGAGTTAAATTTTACCTTCATAAACTTTCCAAATCGAGAACTATTATCATTCCGTACAGTTTTGGCATTACCAAAGCACTCAAGAATAGGTGAACAAGAAACTAATTTTTCACCAATATTTAAAGATGCTCTTTGATCTTCACCACTAGCAGAAAGTGATGAAATAATACCTAAATATTTTAATACTATTTTTGTTGCTTCAGTTTTTCCTGCTCCTGATTCTCCTGAAACAATAATACTTTGGTTACTTACACTATCCACCATTTCATAATATGTAATATGCGCCTGAGTCCATGAATGTGGAACTAAATTTGGAGGTAAAGATGTTGCATTCAAACTACGTCCTGCAGCTAAGTATTTTTTCATTTCCGTATCTTGATAACGTGGAATAGAATATGTAAAAGGATTCAAAGCGACTACTATAGCTCCAATATTGGTGTAAACAATATCTGACATGTAACGTATATAAAGGCATCGTAGTAAAACTGCTTCATGAAGAATAGTTAAAGTAAGTAGGTCATCAGGAGATTCATTAAAAACTCCACCAAAAAAAAATAACTCAATATCTTCCATTTTTTTTATCGTAATAGCTTCATTTGGAGTGGTATCCTTTCTTATATCATCCTTTGTAATACAGACTATACCTTCTTTTGAAACGCTTTCAACAACTCCCATCACCCATGAATGCTCTGGGTGACGAAAAATAACATTATCTCCCGTCTTGAATGTGCTCATTTCTTGAAAAGAAGAAACTAACAACCAAAGTAGGATATACATAAAAAAAAAAGAAGACAAATCCATATAAAAGAGTAACATTTGGAATGACCAAACAAACAAAGAAACAACAACAACAAGAAAAAGAAGAAAGGTTAATTGTGACATTTTTTTTCTATTATTTTTTTTTTTTTTGATTTCCCGCCAAATGTACTGATTCATTTTAATTAGATTCTTCTCTATGATAAAGTTAGACTCTGTTCTATGGTAACCTCAACTTCTGTTCATCCCACACAAACCCCCGCAAAATAAAAACAGTTTAATAAATAATAGGACAAGAAAAAAAAAAGAGAAAAAAAAGGAAAGCTAATATAATTATTACTCCTCTGATTCACGTGCTCGTTTTCTTTCTTCAAGGGCTGCTTGCTTCAACAGCTTTACACCCTCTTCAAGAGAGATAACTTGAATCCTGCTTACCTTGTTATGAAAAAATACACCAAGAACCTGATCAGCAGCCTCTAGCATCTCAGTTTTAAAAGTTGCAGTAATGAATTGAGAGTTTTCAGATTCTTTGCGGAGAAGTTTTGCTACAGATGATCGATATTCTGCATCCAACGCAGCATCAATTTCATCAAATAGATAAAATGGTGCAGGATCACAACGTTGAATAGCAAATATCAGTGCCAATGCAACGAGTGACTTTTGTCCTCCACTTAATTGAGCCAAATCTGTTATAGCTGTTCCAAGTCCAAAAGAGACTCGAATACGGGCAGCAATATAAGGATCTTCACCTGCTTCTTTCTTAAGAGATGATCGAACAAGTTGTAATTCTCCATGAGAATCTTCTGTTGCAACAAGTTCCTTAAATACTTCTTCAAATTGGTATTGAATTTGTTTATACGTACGTTCAACAGCTTCATCTTTCTTTTTATCAAGGTGATCCATTAATTCATGAATACTTTTAAGTTCATTCTGTAAGATTTCTCCTTGTGCAACCAAATCATTCTTAGTCTCCAGTAAAGAAGAATATTGATCAACGGCTTTTCGGTTTACGTGTGCATATTTTTTTATCTTTTCATTATTTTCTTTGAGACGATGCATTAACATACCCAAGGACTGTCCACTATAACGTTCTGCATCTTTAGGAATGACACCTAATTTTCTTATTTTTTCAAGGGCATCATCACGTCGTTGTACAAGAAGGGTTCGTTGAATTTGAGATCTTTCATCATCATCTCGTCGTTCCTGAACAGATCTAGAAGTTTTAAGTCGTTTACTTTTTAAGTTTTCAAGTTTTACTTCTGTATCAGCTTTATCTTTTGTCACTTCATCTATAAGCTGTTTCACAGCATCCAATCTTTTAAAAACAAGAGAACATTCTTCATCAACATTTACTTGTTCTTTTGCTAATGTCTGATTATTAGTTTTAACCCAACCAAGTTCACGAAGACGATCATGTACAATATTCATTCGACGAGTTAGGTTTTGAAGAGTATCATCTAATAAACCAACTTCTGTAGCCAACTGAACACTCTGTAACTGTAATGATGAAACATCTTGGCGACCCTTATCAACATCATTCATAAGTAACTCTAGTTGAGCTTCTTCTTCTTCTCCCCATCTAGATACAAATTCATCTTTAATATCCTGTTGTAGAACTGATAAAGCATTTTCAGCATCCAATATATTCTTTTCTAACCCTTTCTGTGCACTAATTAGTTGATCTTTTTGTTTTTCAAGTCTTGCTTTCCTTTCGTTATGTAGACGAACATCTCGAAGGTCAGCATCAGCTTCATTTTCTGCTACAGAAAACTCTCCCTTTAAAGACTCAATTTCATTTATAACATCAGTAATCTTTTGTTCAATAACAGCAACTTCTTGACAAAGTTTTTCAAGTATATCCTTTTCCTTTATATGCTTTGAAGAAAGTATCTTTTCATTCTTGAAAGCAGACAATTTCATATTTCGGGTTTCCAAATAACCACCAGTTATACCTCCTTTACGACCAATTTGATCACCTTCAAGTGTAACAGTATCACAGTTGTACTGTTTTACAGCTTTAGCTCCATCCTCAATAGAAGAAACAACAGCGGTCCTTCCAAAAACTTCTGCAACTATTCCTTTAAACTTTTCATCACATGAAATATGATCCATAAGAGAAGTACATCCATCTTTTGAATCAAATCGCATTGGTACACTTTTACATGTATCCAAAGGGAAAAAAGATATACGTCCTGGTTTTTTTCGAATATTAATTTGTTCAAGAAGTATAGCACTTACTTCAAAAGAATCAACAACGATATTAAACAAAGCATTACCAGCAGTTACTTCTGCAGCAACTTCATATCCTTTAGAAACATCAATAAGTTCAATTAATTGACCATGAACAGCTTTACGAAGCCTTTCATCACCAATTTCATTTAAAACTTCTTTTACAGATTGTAATCCCTGACGAATATCATGTCTTACAGCACGTTCAAGTTGATGTTTTGAACGATTATATTCATCTTGAATCCTCTGAAGAACACTTTCTTGTTCATTTACTTTTTGCCAAAGATTTCTTCGTTCAATATTAAGAGTATTTCGTAACTTTATTGCTTTCACTCTTTGAGTTTCATGATCTGCCATTTTGGATTCCACTTTCTTTGTTATTTCCTCTCTTTCCTTTTGTTGTCTCTCTTCTTCACGAATTTGTTTACCCACATCATCTATGTTGTTCTTTAGACGTAGAACCTCTTTTTTATGGGCATCTATGATATTTCTGTTACGTTCAATTTCACTTGTAAGCCATTTGTCACGTTCCCCTTTATTTTTAAAAAGTTTACGTCGTCCACGTTTAGCCAGAAGGCTTTCAAGTTTAGCCTCTAAGACAGCCAATTCTTCACTCTTTTTCTCCATAGTTTTCTGTTGAGAGGCCAATTTACCTTGTTTTATATCCAAGTCACTTTTTACTTTTAAAATGTTTTTTTCTAGTTGTTTCTCTTCTTTTTGAAGAGCAACTCTTTCCTTTTCATTTCGACTTATAGCATTTGTAGCATCAGCAGCATCCAATTGAGCAATAGCTTTTTTACCATTTAATGAAGCTGCTTCATTCTCAAGTAATCGCATCTCTTCTTCCAATTGTGCAATACGTATTGCACAATTACGTATATGAGCTTCTGATGACTCGATAGCATTCTTTATATTGATATCATCATCTCTATTTTTATTTAAAGTAGAAAGAAATTCATTTCGTTTCTCATCAAGTTTTATTAAACACTCTTTCGCATTTGATAATTCTAACGCAAAAATACAGTATTCTATACACTTCCTTTCTTTCTCAACTTCCTGAAAAGATTTTAATTCTGCACTTTCAGTCTCTAATTCAGAAAGTCGTTCTTGTAATTCTGCAATAGACTCTTCAATCTTTTTGTACTTTAGTGAAGTTTCTTCAAGAATTTCTTCACTTTCCTTTCGTCTGGCTTCGTAAACTCCTGTACCTGCAACCTCTTTAATAAGATTACATCTTTCTTCATCTGTCATATTTGCCAAGGCAACAATTTTACCTTGCTCCACAATATAATATGGATTGCTAGCAGAAAAGCCAGCGCTTTCCAATAGTTGCTTGACTTCCGTAGCAGTGAACCTACGATCATTTACACGAAACTCATCTTGTTTGAGTCCAACTGTACGTCGTATTCGAACTTCTTTCTCTTCAGTTCGTCCAGGAATAATAAGACGTCCATCAGAATTATCAAAGATAATTTCAACAAAAATAGACAAAGCAGGTCTTCCAGAACCAACATGAAATAACTCTTTTCGTTCTGCCGCAGTTAATACGCTATACTTTTCACTTAAAACGAACTGAACAGCAGCAAAGAAATTTGACTTACCCGAACCATTTTTTCCCACAATAACATTGTTTTTGGGAGAAAGTTCTGTTTGAAACGATTGCTCTCGATAGGAACGGAAACCCGAGATGAGGATATTTTTAATGTGCATTTTGAACCCCTGTAAGAGAAGAATAAGAAGAAGAGTCCATTCAAGAAAAAAGGAAAGAGTAACAAGAATAACAACAAGAAAAAAAAAAAAGAGCATGAGGAAACAGGTATTAATAATCCAGTCTAATAACTCGTAAAGAGTACTCTATTTCACAGATTTCAGGTAGAATACACTAGAAGAAAAACAAAGCAGAGCTATATCCCAATTTGAGCATTAAGAAAATACATTTTTTTTTCTCTTTTTCATCGTTCTTTCTTTTCTTCTTGTGCTTCATGAGTTTACCGAATCAATAAGCCTTCGTCTCTGCAAAACAACCCAATAGGTCTTTGAAAAAGAACAACATCATCAAAAAAAAAAGAAAAAAAGAACACTGCCATGAAACACAAAAACCTTCCCTTCCCGCGTGCACGAGGGCCAAAAACCGACCACCACGAAATAAAGAAAGATAACACCCCACCGCCGACCTTCCCCCCGTTCTGGTTTCGTCTTTCTTTTCCCCGTTGCCCTCACGGCCTCCTCCCTCTCCCTTCCGGTTTTTTCAAGGCTGCGAGGGAAAGGGCACCAAAAGTCAACCCAGAAAGGTTCCCATCCCTTTTTTTTCTCCGCCCCGTTTATCATAAAAACCCGCCGCGAGGGACGACAGTGCCGGGGGTTGGGGTTTCTTTCCTCCTATTCCGCCGTGGGCTGTCGTGGCGGGGTGGGGTGGGTATTCCCGGCGAGGTGCCCCCGGCGTTCGTGGACGCCGTGTTTCTTTGGGGCCCCGGCGTGGGGGATCATGGGGAGGCGTCGATGGGTTTCTTCGGCGGTGGGGGGTGGCGGTCTTCAAAGAAGAATTATCCCCTTGATCATCTGTGTGGGGTGTTTTTTCTCCCTTTTCTTTTCTTTTTTTTTTAACAGGGGAATATAAAAGAGAATTACATCTCTGATTTTTTGGGGTTATGGAAAGCCTTTGGACTAATATACGAGGTACATCCGGTGAAAGTAGAGGCTATAACGCAAAAATATCGGAATTAAGAGAGGCAAGGGCCTGTATTGCTCGATATCTACAACTAATTTTGGAATTCATGTAACTACATAATAGCAAAGGTGTCAATGTAGTCGCCAGATTATACTGTAACGTGTATTCTAAGATGAGAAGATGTCGTTCTTCTTTTTTTTTTCTTGTTATTGTTGCCGTAGGATGTTCTCTTCTTATATTTTGGTTTACTTGGGTGATCAAATTATGTTGTCACGTTTGGTGTTGTTTTTTTTTAATTTACTGTACTTCTATGAAGAGCAAACGCATAGCTACTTTCTTTGGTATGGTGACACTATAGTCGAGATATTATTTTTGCGGTTTTTGAAATCTTATACTGATTATGATTAAATAGTTAGTTTTTTTTTTTCTGTGGAATCTCTAAAATGTGTATTATTCGTCAAAGGTCTGTAATCTGTAAATATGGCTGGGAATTTTTGAATGGGTGTTTTGGATATTTTCTTATTTATTTATTTATTCAGGGTGAATTTATTTTGTTAATATTTTGTTTTCATTTCCTTTAGTTTTACCTTAGTAGACATAATGCCGTACGTTACGACACCTTTTTTTCTTGCACTAAAGGCAGGAGAAGAACTTCCACTGCGACCTCGTAAAGGCGCAGAAGGTTTTTCCTTTACGACATTATTGACATCATTGGTATTCACTCGTAGATGTGGCAAGGAAGCATCAATCCCATCAACTTTGTCTTTGGTGGTATGCTGTGATGATGTGAATAAGGATAAGAAGAATAGTACTGCTACTAATAGTTATACATTAGCTAGTCACACCTTTACCAAAGCCTCTGGTGGTGATGTTTCTGCTGATGAGTCTGTTGTAGTATCTCTACCATCCCCTATTCTTTTAACATCTCGGGGTAATGCTTTTTCGTTGGTGGTAAAAAGCACTGATGAAAAGTCAGTTAAACTGTCTTCTGATTCGAAGATTAATGGGACAGCTGAAAAGAGTCCCTCTACTGCCTACGAAATTACGATGCATGGGTCCCAAAGGACTTTTTTGACGAATGAACAGATGCAGTTATTAAGCAGTGCAGGTCGTTCTTTGTAAACGAGGTGAAGTCAGCAAATACTAAAGAAATAATAATAATAATCGTAATAAGGTGTCATCTATAATAATAAAATAAAAAAAAAAGAATAGAGCATGTTACCTTCTTTTAGAGAGGTTTGTTGAATAAAATGAAACTGTTTGGTTTTTTTTTTTGCTTCTATCAGTATTTTCACAATATCACTGTATCTTATTTTGCGTTTTTGCTGTTTGTATGTATATGTATATATATACCTAGTGAAGTGTTAGTAAGTAAAAACAAGTATAAAGGTATTATAGTTTGTACCTATTTTTTTTTCTTTATCTTCACTTAGTATACAAAATGATGGATGACGCCTTTTAAACGAGAAGGTGTGGAAACTGCTATTTCTACTGATTCACCTCAATGAGACAGGAGAACTCTGTTATCTATACATTTAGGCTTTTCTGACAACACAGAGAAACTTGAATTATGCAAGGTTGATACTCAACTAGTGTACCTGTTATAATTTATGCGTCACCATACTCTTTTTTTCTGGTATACATACTTCTCATTGGCTATTGGTTTGAACATACATTGGATTTGATGATTCTTGCTTCTTTTTATTACTTTATTTTGTCTTTGATGGATCTTTTTCCTTCTGGGTTTAACTATTTTTCTACAGAAGCTATGAGACTGGATCCCTCCAAAAAAAAAAAAAAAAAAAAAAAAAAGCTTACCAGATAATGTCGCAGGCCTACAATAAAAAGAGCCACTAATGGAAATTATTACGATCATCATCTTTTCTGACTCTCACACATCTTTAAAACTCACAAAAATGCATGATTGTTACTTCCTATGAGTAGTACCTCGGCTTCTTTTGGTGTAAGAATAAACTAATATCATTACGTGGTTGCACCATTACTTTGTAATCTCATTCTTTTGTTATTCAACAAGCGGAAATATGGCTTTCTTCTTATTCAGACGCTGTATTACACGAGGAGTTTTTTCTTTAATATGCTAGTTGTCATGTGCAAAAGCGAGACTCATGATTCTCACACTTCTCCCGCTTGGAGTGTTTGATTTCCTTTTGATAGTTAAAGGGGAACAATGGTACAGAAAAAAAAGATCAAAAAAAAAAAATAATAACATCACCACTGATAACAGTAATACTGATGTTAAGTGAACGTCAGCGGTAAGGTCATCATTGACTAAAATATCCTTGGACAATCTTGTGTTTATTTTTTTACGGCCAAGCATTTTTCTCTGGGTCACGTAGGGAGAGGTTTATAGTCACGTTGTGACAAGCAAAGGATCTCTCTTTTTTTATTCTTTAATCAGATTCGTTCTTGTTGTTGTTGTAGTTGTTGTTATTTTGTTCTTCTTCTTCTTGAAGAAGGGTAAGCGATTCTTGTAATCCTTTTCTTTTTCTTCTTTTGTTTTTACTGCCTCTGGAAATCCATCCCTTAAAAACACAATACACACCTTAAATGATGTAGTAAGATCTCTGTGGAGAGGTGAGATTAAGGAACGTCAGAGGTCTGTTTTTTTTTTTCCCCATGCAGACACCAATTCTTCTTCAGTCTTTGCTTAGGGAGGAGGGTGTTTTCTTCCATCCTGCGATGCAGGTATTACCTATTCCTTCTATGGGTGGTGGTCACGGAGTAGTGGCGACAAAGTCACTACCGCCTGGTACACTCCTAGCAAAGATTCCACGAAGGTCTATGATTACTGCTAGTAAGGCTCGTCATTATTTGGCTTCCTGTGAATATAAATATCGACAATTTGAGTTGGGTGGTACGCATAAAGGTGATGCTAATACGACTTGTATTTTGGAAAAAATAGAACGAGAGTTGGAATGGAAATTGTCTCCAACAAATACAATTATTTGTTTTCTTCTTCTTGCAGCAACAGAACAGAATCGTTTTACCGTTTCATCCTTTCAAGGAACTAATAATACTGATACTACTATAAAAAAAGACGAAAATACTCACTCACTGTGGAATCACAAATGGATGAAACCATGGTTATTATCACTTCCATCAAAGTATGATAACCTCCTTGAACTTTATCCGGAAGTTAATGAATTAAAGTGTATTGAAGAAAATGATATTGTGAAATCGAGTGAATCTGTTGTGACAGATAATTATCTTCGTCCTTTCCTTCTTTTTGAACAACATCGTAAGAAAGTAATATTGGAACAGGAAAGGGTAAAATCCGAGTTTCAAATTTGTCAATCAGTTCTTTCTGTATTGAATGCTTTGCCATTTAATTCTGATGATGATTCAAAATTGCGAATTCCAGCAAAACTTGAAGAATTTCTTTGGGCTTACAATACTCTTATGAGTCGGGGTTTTGCATATGATCCTGAAGTATGGGCTCTTATGCCATGGGTTGACTACTTTAACTATGCACTAACAAGTAATGCTACTATGAAGTTTAGTGAAAGGCAACAAGCCTATATTTTTGAGACACTCCTTCCTATTGCGAGCGGTGAACAAATATTTCTTCACTATGGTTCTTACACAGATATGGAATTACTCTTGTGGTATGGATTCATACTTACACCGTCACTATTACCTGAACTTTCAACAAGTAATAGTCAAGAAGAGAGGAATCAAATATTAAGAATGGTTTTATTTGATGACAAAAATATAATGAATATTACCAATACATCTTATATGCAACGTGATGATATATGGTTAAAATCAGTACACACTGCTTTAGGGTATTGTTTCTCACCTTGGGCAGAAGCAGACGGATCGTATCCACAATCTAAACCACATGAGTCCTGGTTTGAACTCCTTTTGGGATCATATCTTTTGAAGAAGAAAAATTCAAAAAATTTAGAAGAGAACCATTATTCTAATTTTTCTGTGGTATCGGAAGCAGAATTAGAAAAACTTGTGAATACGCTAATTGATATCTTTTTGGTTTCTAAGAAGCAAGAAATATCACCACAATTGGCTGCTCAACGTTGTTGTCTAGGAGCGCGAGGACCTTCCTCATCGATGCTGCGATTCTTAAAGAATGTAAGTAGTCTATGTAGCCGTCAAGACATCTATACACCATTATCCCCTTCTGGTATTCTACGAGCTATTTGTTTCGCAGAGCTGTTTTGTAATGACATTGATTTAGTCACAGGAGTAGCAGTTTCCTTATCGAACAATACAACAGATGTTTCTCCTCTTGCCTCTGTGAAGACTATGGCACAACAGTCCTCAATTGATGCTGCTTCTCTTCTTCATTTCCTAGCATTTGATGCATCAGAGGAGGAATTAGATTTCTACCTGTCAAGAGAAATGGACTAAAAGAAGCATTCTGATAGAGGGATACTTTTACACGAATAAATAATTATGATAACAAACACATTGAATTATCCCTCCGTTTTTCTCCAAGAGAAAAATAATGAAAGATAGTAAAAGGAGAACGAAAAGGGAGAGGGAGAGAGAGCTAGTAGATATAAGAGTCGCATAAGTTTGAATATTTTAATTCAAGAATTGTCGAATCATTGGTAAATAACGTGAAACAGCTAGTCTACATGTGTCTCTGAAAGTTACATACATATTTTTAGAGACTTTCTTAATGAGGTGGACTTTGACGATATTCACGGACTCTTTCACATGCCAAAGTAAGTAATATTATTGGCGCAGTACCGTTCTGTTTAACTCTTTCACTTTTCCACGATACATACAAATACATCTGAGTTTAATCTTTTTTTTTTTTTGTATGTGTATACACTTTTTTTTTTTTTTGTTATTGTTTCTTTTTCTTTTTCTCTTCTTCCTGTTTGCTTCTACTCGGATTTTTTAAATTTCCTCGTGTTAATTGAGTAGGCGTGTGAAGGAATGTCAGAAGTGATGACGACTTCTGGAGCTGAGAAAAATTCTCCCTGTACGACTTCCAAAGAGAACTGCAGTGATAAAATATTGGAGCTGTTTCTTCGCATATACGCCTTAAAATGCAAAGAATCTGCAATAGAGATGAATCCTCGTGTTCTGCAAGCTGCTGTTGAAATGCAAAAAAGTACAGTTCCGATAAAAAATAGAACAACACATGAGGGGGTTTCTTTAAACCATTCAGATAAAATAGAGGTGTCATACACTCTTACTGGAATGTCACTTGGAGTTAGTGGGATAAAAGCTCTTATAGCAGCACTTATTGCTCTTCCAATCACAATACTTGATCTTAGTGGTTGCTATCTTGGAGATTCTGGCTTCGCTGCACTTGCGGACGCCGTATCAACATCTTCTTCTTCTTTACTATTACGTAGTCTAAACTTAAGTGCTGTTGGAGCCACAGATGCTGGACCACTAGCAAACTTAGTGACATCATCTCAACAATTACAGGTACTTGATCTCTCCTGCAACAAGCTTGGTACACGTTCAGCAGGTTTGGCTGTTCTTTGTGGGGCGATGCAGTATCATACTGCACTACGAGAAGTCTTTCTTAGTGATAACTTTATTAATGGTGGTTGCGATACAACTATGCGGGCAATTGCGGAATGGCTAGTATGCTCTGGTCGTACAGGTGTATTACTACACATTGATTTACGTTTCAATACGTTGGGCTTCTCACGCGATTTGGCGGCCAGTGCAGGTGTTGTGAGAATGACACGGTGTGTGTATGGTACCCATCCACTAGTAGATGGACTCATGTTCAACAATATATTGGAATATCTAGATCTGGAGGGAAATGCGTTTCCAGAGGATGTGTTGGACGTTATAGATGCGAAATTGGCTGTTAACCGACGTAGCAAGGAGAGTATTCGAAGAGAATTAAAAGTATCCATAGCTGCGTGAAGAAAACATCAATTGCTGTTGCTGTTTTTGATGGTGGTATAAGGAACGAACAGAGCAAAAGAGAAAAAAAAAGAGTTATGTGTATAATGAGAGTTGTTAGTGCTCTTCGTTTTCTTACCCCACATGCTCTTTCATACTATACTGTATAGAGAAAATTTTTTATTTTTCGTTTTCTGTATATATATATATATATATATATATATATATATCTGTACATGTATCTCAGTGTGTGTGTGTCCTTTTTTTCTCACTATCTCTCTATTTCTCTATCTCTCTGTGACTAGAAGTTCCTCTCACTTCGCTCTTGCGTAATAGCAACACAGTGATGAGTTCAACACAGCAGATGTCTTCGACTGTCAATGGTAGCACTGCGTTAGCGCCAAACAAAGTGGCAGAGTTGGTGCGACAACTAGCAGTGACACAGTATGAGGCACAACAGCTTCGTCAACAGATGGAGCTTATGGAAAACGAAAACAAATCGTTTCGTAATGCTTTATCTCAAAGACAAAATGAGAATAGACTTGATAAAAATGCACATAACGGACAATTTTACCACCGACAAGAACGAGAACAAAACCAACAAGAGGAACAACAACAACAACAACAACAGCAGCGAAGTGATAACAGAGGACCACGTGAAACTGCTAGTACAAATGTTAGTATGAATGACAACAATCGCATAGAGAAACCAAGATTTATAGATCGACTACTGCACTCTCCTGGAAAGAAACATTTATCACCATTACAACGACAACAACAACAAGAAGAACAACAAGAACAAGAACGGTTTGACTCAAGGATAAAATATAAATCTCCACTACGGTCTTCTAGAAAGACTACGGAAGATTTCCCTAATATGTGTACAGAGGGAGTGGAAGTTCACGCTTCTTCTTCTTCTTTAGATGATTCTTACTGGAAGAAAAAGTACTTAAAACTGAAACGTTTGCACGCGAAATCATTAATGGAACGTGACTTGCAGTTGTCTGAGGTACAACAATTGGTATTTCAAATTCACGAAGAACACGATGAAATGCGTCATTCCCATGCACAAGATCGTCTACGACAACAATTAGAACAAGAATCAAAATTTCGAGAAATGTTAGAGAAAAGAGCTAAAATACTTGAGGATGAACTCATTGAATGGCGGCAACGTTTTTTACGGTTTATAGAGGATCCTGGGGTTGCACGGTATCGTTTAGTGGCTCAAGAGATACCGGCCTCACCAAACAACATTACAGACATTGGAAGACCACATTACCCAGAAGGATTAAACCAAACAATTCCTTCTTTTACACTTGCAGATGGTGTAGTACATTCTGTAATTGATACTGGTTCATCTTCACAAAATGTCTCTCCATCTCTTCCCAGTCACCAGTGCAACATGGCTGGGATTAATAATATTAATAATACTAATAATAATAATAGTGATAATGGATTAGATCTAGGGCAACGGCGGCGTCAGCATTTAAACGTTAGAGCTAATATCTTTGCTGGAGAAACGTGGAACTATGGTGTACCGCATAAAGTTTTATCCACTGTAAACAGTTTATCAGCTGCTATACAAGTCTCTCCCACAACTACAACAGCAACATCACAGACCGAAATGTGCTCTAGGAGGTCTATTGGGATTCAGGTAGATGCAGGTGATGATGATACAGTAGTTGATGATATACAGAAAAAAACAAGAAAGATTGATTGGGTACAATGTGCGAGGAAATCAACTATCGCTTATCAAGATAGAAATACGATGGATCTTCAAAGTTGTCTTTTACGTGATACAAGGAATGGTTCAATGTCATTAAAAAATCCTCAGCAAATTCCTGCTGAAGATTTTAAAGGTCACTTCTACTACTCGGTAAATGAGGAACAATCGAGTGATCGTGGATTTGAGACATCACCTATGCCTCCTGTAGGCTATCAGTTAAATGGAAGGCGATCTTCTAGATCATTTCCTATTTATTCTGAATCAACAGGGATAACAAGGTCTACTTTTAGTGAACCATTAGGGTTTATACCTGGAGATGATCAGATGGAACGTGAACGCCTAGATGAGGACATTCGTAAACACGATCAACTTCTAGAAGCTGTAGCGAAATTGCAGCGACAAGCTCAACGTGCAGCCAAGACACCATCTTTTTAGGTGTTTTCGCTTTTTTATTTATTATAGTGTTGTTTTTCGGTTGTGGTTTTATGTTTCTTTTTCTCAGGGGTTGTTGGGTTCTTCTTGAGTGGAGATAACAAAAGAAAAAAAAAAAAAGAAATAATATGAGTGAAGTATTGGCTGCCAGTCATTGTGTAGGAGATTTTATTTTATTTTTTGCAATCTCCATTTCTCTTTTGTTTTGTTTCTACCGTTGAACTTGTTTATTATTATTATTTAGTGGTAGAGTGAAAAGTATGAATTTATCACTCTATTGGTGTACATTTTTATACCGTTTTTTTTTTTTTAATTTTCTGTTCCTTTCCTTTTGAAATAGAATACTTTCTGCTGTTCGGGGTGGGAGATAGTGGGATGAGAGAAGTTATTTTAAAGGCGTCATATTTGTGTTTGAATACCACATTCTCTCTCTCTGTTTCTCTATTTCTCTCTCTCTCTCCTGTTTTTGTATATGTACGTGTGATAGTTAAATCTCAATCAAGAGAGAATATTAGTTGTAATTGGATCCACTCAAGTTTTTCTGTTTTTTTTTTTTCCTTTTCTTTATTTTCTATCTTTATGTAAATATGCACATTTGCTGTTTTTTTTTTCTTGTTTACTCTCCTTGTATATTTATTTTCTTGTTTTTTCCCCATTCTCTTCTATATCTTTCTATACCTACGTATACCCTATGAAATTTGGTTTTATTACTATATTATTATTGTTAAACAGTAATTACGTCTGTTTGCTTTTGTTTTTAGCGCCCAGCCGTAATGACAGCATTGCCAACGACAGATCCTACAGCAGATGTATTTAACGCTATCAATGGATTTCACAGCAGCCGCGGCGGTGACACAACTGGAGCCGATGCATACAATCCATCACTAGATATCCAAGAAGATATGTCAGCAAGTAATTTAACTGAACAGCAGCAGCAGCAACAGCAACAACAACATGGTCGTACATCAGACAATAATAATAACGGCGATGTTGGCTTTGATGATTTCTTTTTTCACAATCTCCCACCCATCAGCAGTCAGGATGAGGCGGCGCACGCTTCTGCGTTTGAAGGATTCTGCTTTGATGATATCTGTGGTGATGGCGGGTGGCCAACTACCGCACTTGTACCAAATGAGACATCCAATGATGGAAACGGGCCTTCTACCACTGATGTGACGAATGGCATTACAGAAGATCATCACAATTCAACAGAGTTATTTGATTTTCTTCTTACTAATGATACAACTGGTGGAACAGATGCTTCTACTGCGGCTTTAACTTCTATGGCTCATATTTCATCCACACGAGTTGAAGTTGATCAAACCATTCCTAATTTCATCGGAGTGGAATTGAATGGAAATCCTGCAATAACACCTGCTCCTATTTCTGCTTTTTCTCCTCCTTCTACTAATGGAATGACCACAACTACGGCTGCTACTTCCTTTGACGGACAGAAACATTCCACAGTACTGGAGACACATGAAAGGAACACAAATGCTCCCTCTATTCCATCTACTCTTAATAACATGGCAGGGAATCACTTACCACCCAATAATGTTGGTAACGGCCATGGGGTCATGTGCGAGGAGACAGTTTCTATTCAAGAGCCTATAAAGACGATTCCCACTTCCCCAAATCTCAAGTCGCGGGGTTCTCTTGGAGTCAATGACACTTCTATTGCATCTACGGCTGGATCTGCAGGAGGGGCAGCGGCGGTATCTCGTGTCCCACGCGAAGGTGTGGAAGAACTTCTTCGACGTGCAGAACGTATTCTTCATGAGGATGTCAATAATGAAACAAAACCAACTGCAGGTGATACTTCCACAAGTGGTGATCATGAAGGCATCAATCCAAACAATAATAACAACAGTAGTAACAGTAATAATCCTGATAGTTTCTTTACAGCACAAGTTTCACATTGGCTTCGTCGAGGTGCGGAGGTGCAAGAGAATGCTCTCTCCACAGTGGCGGAGCTTCAACTGAGTCTCACACAGACAATGCGGTTATTCGGCGCCCACAGTGGTGTCTCTTCTGCGCTTGGGCCAAAGTACACTGCAACACCAGTGGTACTCACACTTCCGCTGGTAGTACCAATGCTTCAATCCCTTCTTGAGGAAGATTGAAGATAACAAGAGTCTTGCAAAGGGGGTTTACCTGCAAAGAAAAGAAAAAAGGAAATCCATGATGATGATGATGATGATGATGATGAAACATATATATATATATATATATATATATATATATATATATATTTTGTTTTCACCGGTGTACGTGTACAGAGACACGTCCTTACATTCACAGGTATCATCATTTCCATTACAGATCTATACACAACAAGATAAATTTATTTCTTTATTTTTATTTCTTTATTTTATTTTTGGGTTTGCTGGGGTTTGGAGACTTATAAAGGAAAGAAAAAAAAAAAAGAAGTAAAACACACTTTTTTTTCTTCTTAACGGGTGGGGTGGGCAGATTAACTCATATCTTGTTTTTATTTTTCTTTGGTAATACCACTTGATCAATTTTCTTCACTCTTAAGAATGAGTAATGCGATGCTGTGATCTCTACTGCTCTCCTTAACTTTTCTTTATCTTTTTCTCTGACTGTTCCTCTTGACTGAGAGTATATACAAACACACACACACACAAAAAAAAAAAAAAAAAAGGAGTCCAAAGGCAAATAGATATAGATTTTATTTTTGTGTATACGTGGACTTTGGCTGTTAATACTAGATGGACGGTGTGCGATATCAGATTGAGCAGCTGCAGTATGTACTTGGGCAGCTGGACACACACCGCATGTTAATGCAGGCGGATGCCGCACAACTGCAGTTAGCATTAGCGAATGCAACTGCGATTGCACGCCATGTAGTAGAGCGACAGACACGTCGTAATGCAAAAATACACTCGGGCAAAAACAGTAATGCTCGTACTTCTGATAATAATAGAAATGATTGTAGGAATTCTTCTTCTTCTAAAGCGAAACAACAACAACAACAACAACAACCTGAAGAGCAAAATGAGGCAGCTCAGGCTGTTGCTAATGGTGGTATTAGTAGGAGTAGTAGTAATGCGGTTGATGTGAACAAGAAGAAGGATGAGACGGATAAGAAAACTATCAAAAGTAAAGAATCTGCAGGGCAACCATCCTATTCTGAGACCATTGCTAGTGTCGCAAGACTTCACAATGTTTCTCTTGATGAAATACGAAATTATAACCCACAGTTATCAGAATTTGATGATGAAGAAGTATTACCACCAAATACATTTATAAAAATGAAATTGCACGTAAATGAACCTTCTCAATTTGCTGAGATTTCTGATATAACGACACCTCATCAGCGTTTAGGAGAACCTCTTCTTGGTGCGGATGATACTATGACTGCAGAAGTTCCATTACCATTAGCACCTCTTCCATATATGCAAGATGCCCCACGTCGCTCTACTTATATTGAGGAATCACCAATAAATTATAGACAAAATAACGATAACGATTGTAAAACCCTTAATATACAAGACGACTCACCTAAAAAAATACGGTTACTTATGTTACCTTCTCCATCTCCAAATCGTCATGGTTTCTCAGTTGAGAATAGTATGAATAACAGTAATATAAAGGATAATCTATGTGCTGCGGATTCCTCTGTAGAAGTCTCTGTTAACGTATCAGGACATAAAGGCCCTAATAATAAAACTATGGCTGCGGGAAATACACCTGTTCCAAAGTCACTTTTCTCAGGTTCACATCTTGGGAAACCGCCCACTACACCACAGGTGACTATTATTACGGACTCAAAGAAGAATAATGATAATAATAATAATAATGATAATGATGATGATAATGATGCTATTCCTTCTGCTGCTTCTCCATCACCAATTGCGAAGGTACGTGCTGGTGATCGTGATCAGTCTTTACTTACCGAGTCATCTTCTTTTCATTCAACGCCTACACCTACACCACATGTATCGCCAAAACCAAAAGGAAAAAGTACCCAAAATGATTTAGTAGATATACGTGATAAGGGAAAAGATGGTACAACAACACCACCACCAACCACAAAATTAAATGTAGAAAATAATACTTCTGCTGTAGATAATAGTATGGATGGTAAGTTGTGTAACAGTAATGATATATCACCAATTGTACCGAAGAAGTCTCCTTATCCAGAGGAAAGTGATGAAGACTTTGATACACTTAACTCTATAGCTCAGCAATATGCGGTAACAGTGAAGGAAGTGTTGAAATGGAATCCGTATTTGATTGTGTATGAGGCAGAGGAACCATTACCACCAAACCTCCCTATTGTTCTTCCACTACAACAAAATCAATTAAACGAATAAAGATGAAAAAATGACTAGTGGAGTCCTTTTTTTTTTCTTCTTTTTTTTTACATCCCTCTTTGATATATATATTTTTTTAGAGCAGAAAAGAAAGAGTAAAACATCTTATTTTGATGACTGTTTGGTAAATTCAGTTACAAACCTCAGAATAAAGAGGTGTAGAAAGAAGAAGAACCAAAACAATTATAAAAAAAAAAAAATAAGCGTGGATATAAATGAGTATAAATAATTCTAATGATGAAAAGTAGGAATATATATATATATATATATATATATATATATATATATATCTGCTGCGATTATTAGATACATATGCTTCTTCAATAGTGCCACGTCTCAGAAATCAAGGGAGCAAGCAAAAAAGAAGAAGAGAGGAATAAAAGAAATTGAAAAAAAAAAAAA